CAGTATTAAATACTTGTATTTTTAACCATATATAAAGTCGTTGTCGGCCGTCCTAGCAAAATAGGGAGTCGAAATACAGATTCATGGGAGCCTCCAAGAAAAACCGTGGGGCCCTGCCACACATGAAGTGCAAGAGCAGGCTGTTAAGAATTTATAGTTACATTGAATCTAATTGTAAATCAAGTATAGTGTAACTATTTCATTAAATTGATGGACTCAAGATTCGAGATGTGATCCCACCACAGCTGAGTTAAACGAGCACACACATAGGTGGTAGTCGGACCAGGCCCGAGTTGATAGAAAATCCTGAGCAAGCTAGGTAATTCAAAGGAGTAACTACTTTAAAGTTCCAAATAAATATTGATGTTTTTTTAGCCTCTAGCTATCCTTAACTATTTTCTTCAAGGAGACATTTCAAAACCCAAAGGAGAGCTGATCCCAGCAGTCGAGCCATATTATGATACGAGATCATGACCTGTCCAAGTTCGAGCTGTGGCGGGAGCTTGCCAAAGGTAAGGGAAAGGGCCAGGTCTACCAGTTGGGGTATCAAGCACATGCATACGTCACTCATCCTTTTTCAGCAGTTTTGGGGCATCCACTTCTACCACCCAGAAGGCGTAGCTTCCCAAGCACGTTGTTGAATTCTCTACAGATATTGAGACCACTGTCCATCCCAACTCGTCCAGATGAGGTCGTTGATGGAAGACAAGCTCAAAGCTGATTTTGGTATTGGGCGGGGTGGAGAGGAAAGCAACCAGCGAGGAGTGACTATGATGACAATGATGATTAAGGCAGAAAAAATGAATAGGTTCTTTTTTCATTTTCTCTTTTCATTTACAACATTCACGCGGAGTAAGCTATTTTTTTTAGCATTTATGTATATATATTTAATCCAATAAAATTTGTTTACTTATGTGTTTGATTGCCCAATCAATTTATCGATGTTTGGATTGGTATACTATAATGTGTGATAGAATATGTGCATTCTATGTTTAGGATTGCAGGTGTGAAAATAGAAATGTTGAAGAATGGAATTTATTTATTTTATGATGCTACTCATTTTGAACACTTTAGTTGGGCTTTCAATGACTTTTCAATCATTTGTCGAAATTTCTAATGGCTACTGATTTTGAACACTTTCCGTCGGGCTTTCGATGACTTATCGATCATTTGTCGAAATTTCTGACAGTTAGGATTTATTCATTATAATACCGATTGAAAATCCATCAAGAAAGTGAAGCCCATTCCTGATGGCTTAAAATCGACGTTTGCACCACTTTTTCATCAGAAGTGGTCGTTGGTTATATGCGACGGTGTACCAACTAATAACTGATAGCCACTCTTACTTGATATCTAACAATTTTAGCCATCGTTAATCTTACAACTAACGGTTCCCGACGGCTGATCGACATGATTAATTTTAATATATAAATATGTTTATAAAAATTGAAGTTTAGCATTACACTTGTAAATACATACGAATTTAGTAGCATGTATCTAAATCTTCCAAAAAATTTGTTTATTACGTAACAGCAACTTTTTAGCTCACAATGTAAGCCCGGGATACGCTCCCAATTCTACAATCATAAATCTCCCAGATTATTGTCGGGGCGTGAAAGCGATTGTCGGCAGTCGATTCACCTGACACCTGTCAAGCGGCAATGACGTGGAATTTAGTTGGGGCCCACTTTCCTTTACGAGTAACTCCTTCGAAACTTTGCCGCGATTAAAAAGCAAATACCATGAAAATGGAGACGGAGAACACTTGCAGTCACGTCCAGTAGATAGGATCTGAATGACCGACCGGAAGTCGTCGATGTGGCCAATAGCCTACTATCGACATTGTCAGCTTTTACTAATGACTTTCAGTGCGTCAGCATTTTGGTTTCGAAGTCACGTCCATGGGCATTTTAGTCAAAATTAATGATTAAAAATAATTTTACCATCTCTTCATCAAAGTGTAAAGTTGGATATGATGGAATTTATACACCAACATTAAATTTAATTTTAAAAATTTAAGAATTTAGATAGTACCCGATTCAAATCCAATAAATCAAGAATACATAAAAAAGAAACAAAATGAAACTAAATCATCATTTCGCACAAACTCAACAGAGATTTATCTGATTCAACTCCAAAATATCATAATAAATGTAACTCGAGGCCTATAGCAACAATATTTTGGGGTTAGTTCGGGGTAGGTGCAGCTTATTGAATAATATACTGATAAGCGGATTTAAAATAATCTGTCGATAGATTAAGTGTGGTGGCTATTACAATTTTTTTTTTTTGAAAAAATCTG